GAACGAACTGGTCGGTGGGAGGCTATTGGTGGCAAAAGACGGTCTCGTAGGTACCCAGGTCCTAAGCCATGGAGCGCTTTGAAGGTGATAACTAACACCTTGAATCGCACCCGGAAGACCACCGGGAGCCAGTGCAGCTCGCGTAGGAGAGGTGTTACATGGGCGTAACGAGCTGTGCCCATAATCACCCGCGCGGCTACATTCTGGACCAGTTGGAGCCTCCGGGTGCTTTTCAAGGGGAGCCCCATGTAGAGAGCATTACAGTAGTCCATACGGGAGGTAACTAGGGCATGAGTGACCGTGCGCAAGGTGTCCCGATCCAGAAAGGGACGCAACATGATTTGATATAATCATGTACTTGTTGCCAACCCTATTGACTCTAAGCATTTGTTTAGTCAAATTAATTAATTAAAGCTACAAAAGTGCATATAGTCAAAGCTATGGTTTTCCCAGTTTCAGTGTATGGCTATGAAAGTTGGACCATAAGAAAGGCTGAGCGCCAAAGAATTGAGCCCTTTGAACTATGGTGCTGGAGAAGACTCCTGTGAGTCCCTTGAACTGCAAGGTGATCAAACCGGTCAGTCCTAGAGGAGATCAACCCTGACTGCTATTTAGAAGGCCAGATCCTGAACCCGAAACTCAAATACTTTGGCCACCTAATGAGAAGGAAGGACTCACTAGAGAAGAGTCTAATGCTGGGAAAGATTGAAGGCAAAAGAAGAATGGGACAACAGAGCACGAGGTGGCTGGATGGAGTCACTGAAGCAGTAGGCGTGAGCTTAAATGGACTCCAGAGGATGGTAGGACAGGAAAGCCTGGAGGAACGCTGTCCATGGGGTTGCAATGGGTCGGACACGACTTCGCAACTAACAACAACAAAATTTAAAATATCAATATAAAAATTCCTCAAAATCTGACTAAAATAGTAGTTTTAAATTGGCTCCTAAACATTAAGGCCAGCCTTATTCAATGACAATTAATCCATAATATAACCCTAGAATCTGTAGCAGAAATCACAGGCTGTTCTAATACGTACCTTAAATTGGGCTCAAAAAGCAACTGCTAACCAGTGCAATTGTTGAAGTTCCTCCCCACCAGTTCCTCCCAGTTCGGCCCGGTTCCACCGACCCAGTAGCAGTGACGATATGACATCACTGAACCGGTTCTGCCCCCCCCGCCCCCCCACGTTATTCTTATCTTTTATTTGGCCCCACCCCCAATCTATTGCTGCCTCCTGAGTCCCAGCTGATGGGCTATAAAGAAAAAAACTGTTTAAACTCTTGCCGCGGAGCTTCAAAGGGCCGCCCTACAGCTGATAAGTGGTAAAAGGCAGTTTGGTGGTAGACCTCCAAAAACAAATGAGTAGACTGGTGCCTGCAAAAATACATGAGTAGACCGGTGCCTGCAAAAATACATGAGTAGACCGGTGCCTGCAAAAATAAATGTGTAGACCAGTGCTTGCAAAAATACATGAGTAGACCAGTGCCTACAAAAATAAATGGGTAGACCAATGCCTGCAAAAATAAATGAGTAGACCGGTACAGCTCTGGAAGCAGTTAAAAGCCTGGTAGACCAGTACCTCTGGTAAATCCTAAAGAATTGTCACATGACCATCAAGCCATGCCCACAAAATAAGCCACACCCACAGAACTGGTAGTAAAAAAATTTAGAACCCACCCCTGCTCCCCACTTATGTATCACATTCTGAGCCAATGGCAATTTGCAAAGTGTTTGCTGAGTCCCACTCCGGGGCTCACCATACCTTGGGGGGAGGGGGAAGGGCACAAAGCCATTTCTTTTGCTGTTGGGTGTTGTGAGAGGAGCTGCAGGGACACATGCTGGGACAGCACCGACCGGCCACTCGTCAGCTGAGCGTCCTTCGGCAGTGGCGGTGACGGTGGGGCACATTGAGGCAGCACTGGCCAGCCATCTAGCAGCGGCAGTAGGAAGCATGAAGACCATGGCTACTGCAGCACTGCCAGATGTCTAGGCCCAGAGCAATGTGGCCACCTGTCAGCTGTTCGCCCTGCGATTGTCCACATGTTTCCGTGCATCCATCCCTGCAGTCCAGGACTCTACCGGTGGCCTCAGGCCCGCACCCGGGTGTCAGCCACAGACAGCTGGATGCTGGGTGGCCAGCAGGTGTGGCTGGATGATCAGCGGGCGTGGCCCTGAGCCATAAAACACGCTGGGAAGCGAGAGCTTCCAGAGCTGACTTTGCATCGCTTTGTGTGTTATACTCAATGTGTACCAAGGCTCCGGCCCATGAGTGAGAAGTAAAACCTGTATTCTTGAGTTGCTGAGTTTCCTGTATGTGTTTGCTTGACTCCTCCCTGGTCTGGGCCTGGACCGTTTGAGAGTATTTCCAAGGGCTGTGCCATGAAAAGCAAATGCAGTACTTCAACCTTGAGACTACCAATAGTCTTTTTTAAAAAATTGAACACATCTACAAAGTAAATATGCCCTCTTACTATGGTGGCCATTGGTGAACAATTTTATTAAAGACTACTTTAGAAACTATGAGAAACTTCCTCATTTTTATAGTATCTGTTCAAGAGAACAGTAGGTGTTATTCTTTTGTTTTGCTTTCAAGATTATCCTAATTTGTCAGTTAAATCACTATTATTTCAAGTGGTCAGGCCCAAATACTCTGAGATAAAGAATAAAACTGAACCGTACAAAAGAGTTTGTTCCACTATTCCATAAAATTCTGGGATAAAGGGCTTTTTTTATAACAAATTTTAGTCAAATTTACAGGATAGGTGTTACTCTCAATTCTATTGAAGGTTGTCGAGAGTGTGGTGGCGAGGCAACTTCCTCGATTCCTGGATGAAGCTGTCTATCTAGATCCGTGCCAGTCAGGCTTCAGGGCGGGTTACAGCACGGAAACGGCATTGATTGCATTGGTTGATGATTTCTGGAGGGCTCGGGACAGGGGTTGCTCCTCTGTTCTGGTCCTCCTAGACCTCTCAGCGGCTTTTGATACCATCGATCATGGTATCATGCTGCGTCGGCTAGAGGGGTTGGGAGTGGGAGGCACCGTTTTATGGTGGTTCTCCTCCTTCCTCTCTGACCGTACGCAGTCTGTGTTGATGGGAGGGCAGAGGTTGATCTCGAGGTTCCTCACTTGTGGGGTGCCGCAGGGATGTTCCCTCACCCCTTCTGTTTAACATTTATGTGAAGCCGCTGGGCGAGATCATCCGTGGCTTTGGGGTGAAGTGTAAACTGTATGCTGATGACACACAGTTGTACATTTCAACCCCAGGCCACCCCAATGATGCTCTTGACGTGATGTCCCGTTGCCTGAAGGCCGTGCGGATCTGGACGGGGAGGAACAGGCTCAGACTCAATCCCTCCAAGACTGAGTGGCTGTGGTTCCCGGCGTCCCGATATAGCCAGCTTACACCATCACTGACTATTGGGGATGAGATCTTACCCCCCCTCAGAGAGGGCTTGCAACTTGGGCATCCTCCTGGACTCACGACTGTCTTTGGATGATCATATGACGGCCGTGGCCAGGGGGGCTTTTTATCAGGTTCGCCTGATTTCCCAGTTGCGCCCCTTTCTGGATCGGGACGCCTTGCGCACAGTCACTCACGCCCTTGTCACTTCCCGTCTGGACTATTGTAACGCTCTCTACATGAGGCTCCCCTTGAGAAGCACCCGGAGGCTCCAACTGGTCCAGAATGCAGCCGCGCAAGTAATAATGGGGGCGACCCGTCACTCCCATGTAACACCCCTCTTGTGCGAGCTGCACTGGTTCCCGGTGGTCTTCCGGGTGCGCTTCAAGGTTGTTGGTTACCATCTTTAAAGCGCTCCATGGCTTAGGACCTGGCTATCTACAAGACCGCATTCTGCCACTGATTGCCTACCACCGACCAGTACGCGCCCACAGAGAGGGCCTCCTCAGGGTGCCGTCAGCCAAACAATGTAGACTGGCAACCCCCAGGGTGAGAGCCTTCTCTGTGGGGGCCCCTGCCCTCTGGAATGCATTACCCCCAGACATACGAAGGATCCCGGACCTCCGCGCCTTCCGTCGTGCAGTGAAGATCCTGTTATTCCAGTAAGCCGCTCTGATGGGATAAATGATTTTAATTTGGTCTTAATGGGATTTTAAAATTGGTTTTAAAATGAGAGTTTTAAATTCGGCCCATGATTTAATTATTTTAATCTGCTCTTAAATTCTATTTTTGTACATTGTTTTTATTATGGCTGTTCACCGCCCTGAGTCCTTCGGGAGAAGGGCGGTATATAAATAAAATAAATTAAATAAATAAATAAATAAATATTGACAGCTAAGATAAACCAAAGAGGATTGTCATAATGAAATCTGAACCCCTATCTTGAACTCTAATCTTATATACATGTATTTTTGAAACCCAATAATTTTATATACATGTTCTTGAATCAAGTTTTTATATTCCGAGCAAATCTCTTTCCAGAGATTTTTGCATCATTACTTCTTTTCAGAAAGAGTACCAGCACTCTGATTTTGCCACCCATAAAAGAACCTCCTACTATAATTAGCCAATTAGTTCTTTTAAAAAGGTTCACCAATTGCGGTTAGTACCACTCTTTACAAAAAAAAGAAACGTGTGCTTTAGAGTAAGGCACTTCATAGGACGAAAATCACTTAACATTGAAATGTGAAGTCCTTCTGCTTAATTCTGATCGGAAATTCTCAACTATATCGCCCTCCTTGCCTTCAAAGCTAATGGAGTTGTTTTTCTTTTACAATTTTCCACATTACACGAGAGGAAGCGCAGCCCCCTTCCTCCCCCGCAGACTGAGGGCCCACCGTCCTCCTCCTTTGCCTAGCCTTCAGTCCCAGGACCGAGAGAAGAAAGGTGGGCGGTGCCCAGGCCCAAATCCCTTCCAAAGCCATCGGGAGCCAAGACAAAAGGGCGAACCCAGCCCTGAATTCCGTTCTTTCTCATCCCGCGGTGAAGATCCGCTCTCTGCGGAGTGAAGGGGGCGAGTTAAGACCCGAATCTTATTACCTTCCCGGTATTTCTTGCGCAGGCGCCGATGAACGCTCTTCACCACCCCGGAGAGCTTCTCCTGCTGCAGTTTCCGCTCTTGTTCTCGGGGCTGAGGCAGAAACAGGATAGGAGTCCCGCACTCAACCTCCATGGTGCTAGGACTGGTACTCCGCAACCTCTCTCCTTCCGTTTCCCCAGAGGGGGGCGGTGGCCGCGGTCTCTATGACACAGCCGGCAGTGTAGGTTTGCGAATAGGAAGGGTCATGTGATCATCTGGGTTGCCTGTTGGGAAGTGTAGTCTTTACGCCTGAAAGCCTTTTGCTGCTGTTGCCTTTTTGAGTCTAAATTTCAGAGTGGACCAGCTGTATCCAAGGGTCATAGAGCCTTTTAAGATTAACACTTTTCATTGCAAGGTCCTAAACTGTAGTAAACTACGGCTCACTTCACAGACTTTGGAAGCATCTGCTTTATAAATTAGAGCAAACATACATCTTTTATTTCAGAAAAGTGATTTTAGATTTAATGTAATCATCTGTGTTATCATTTTTTGTTCTAGAATTTTCCTTTGTAAAGCAAAGCTTTTTAACCTCTGTCCCTTTTTCAGGTTTATCTTTTATTTTTTCCCAATAAAATATGGTCACTGTACTTGTAATAGCTGATAAAAGCATCTCTGCATCTTAAAAGGTGCTATCAGATCGATTCTTGGTGACCCTAGACCAGCGTTTCTCAACTTCAGTTGAAGTCCATGCATTTTAAAGTGGCCAAGATTGAGAAACACTGTTTTAGGCTAACACAAATTTGGGAAGATATTTTTGAAGAAGTAAGCATTAATACCAGCCTTTATTTGAATGCAAAGAAGCCTATTGGTGCAATAAATAGACTAATCTTGAAAATCTCAGTCTTCGTTCTTTGCTTCTGTAGGAACAAATATCCTTCTGGGTTCCGCTCCAAGTGGGGAAAAAGACACTGGAAACATGGAGACTGCTTGGAAAGATGGTTTAATGGTGGACAGGATCAGATGGTTTGAGTTCCTGAACAGAAAAGGGACGAGACGCACTGAGTCCCCGGGTTTTATGTTCTCTCTGGCTTTGAACTTCCTGGGGCCCAGAAAGAGTATTCTGATTGGTTGTCAGACTCCCAGGTCTTAGCTAGCCTTGCTGGCTGATGTAATTTTCCCAGGTGTCATGTGGTGAGTTTCTGTTGCTAGATGTGCTATTGTGTTGCAGATGATGGCCCATTGACAAAGATTGAGTTTCTGCCCCTGGCCCATTGACAAAGGGTGGGGGCAGGAAGATGGGAGCTGCTTCGTCTTTAAAACATGCTTCTCCATTTCTCATCCAGGGGAACATAATATTCTGCTTTTTTAATATTTCCCAAAATATTTCATTCCTCTAGGAAAGGGATGGGTGCTAACTTCCTACAATCCCTCCTCTTTTTTTTTTCAAAATGTGAGTTTGGAAACATGTTCGTGGCAAAAGATTAAAATAGACCAGGTCAGGGAGGCTTGATGGGTGCTTTTAATTGTTCTAGTGCAAAGGGGAAGGCATTGATAGAGGCAATAGAAAAGGATTCCTTCAGTGGCTCCCAAAAGCTTTCAACCATGAAGGTCTAGCAGCCAGGGGAAAAGTTCTGGTAAGAATTTTACAGTATCCAATTTTCCATGCCAATTGTTTCCAGATGTTTCATGTCACTTTCTGTGAGCTTCCAGTCAGGTTTCAAGCAAGCACATGTCCCAAAATTTTTCACAGCCATGGTTTACCTTTAAATCACCGGCTGCCCATTTCCAAGGGTTGGTTACTGAACCTGCCCTAGCTCTTACTTTAGTGCATCCAGGATTTGTGAGTCCAAATTGAGGTTAGTCTGTGTAATCCAGACTTTTTTTTTCTTTTTCTTTTAGTATTATTACACACAATGAGCCCTGGGACCAGTGGTGGGATTCTGGGGGTTCTAGGGGGTTCGGCTGAACCCTTTGTTAAATTGCTGGCTCGCCCCGCCCCTTGCCCCGCCCCTCCGCACTACTATTTATTCCCAATAAATGGGGCAGGCGAGCCAGCAATTTAACAAACAATTCGGTGTTTTTTGTAATTTATTGGCCCTGCAGCACACCGAACCGTTTGTTAAATTGCTGGCTCGCCCGCCCCTCGCCCCTCCCCGCCTCCCACCCATGCGGCGCCAGCCTACCATAGCCAGGGGTAGGCAATTGTGGCTCTTTTACAACCTGTGGCCTTCAACTCCCAGAATTCCTGAGACAGCCAAGCTGTCTCAGGAATTCTGGAAGTTGAAGTCCACAGGTTGTAAAAGAGCCACAATTGCCCACCCCTTCCCTAGCCTGAGTTCCGCTGCCTGGGATCCACGTGGGCTGCCACGTGGTTCCCCACCGGCTCCGGACGCAAGAGAGCAGGATGGAGAAAGCAGCTTCCACGCCTTCACTCACCCTCACTCTCTGCTCTGTTGGATTGCCGGCCATTCGCTTACCCTGCCCACTCCCAATCTATTGCTGCCTCCGGAGTCCCAGCTGATGGCTAGAGGAAAAAAAAACTGCTTAAATTCTTGCTGCAGGGCTTCAAAGGGCCGCTCTATAGCCAGTGGTGCAGCCGAACCGTTTGTTAAATTGCTGGCTTGCCCCGCCCCTCCGCACCACTATTTATTGCCAATAAATAGTGGTGGGCGAGGGAGCCAGCAATTTAACAAACGGTTGGGTGTTTTTTTTGTAATTTTATTGGCCCGCGGAGCTTCAGCATAGGCTAATTAGTCCTTGCTTAGATCGGCTCCCGACCCCCAGTTGATTTGCTCTCAGCTGTTTTGCTCAGAGCTCTGCTGCTTGCTGGAGCAGATTTTTTTTTCCCCTATCTATGCTGAAAAACGAAACTGAAACTGCTTTGCTGTTGCTGCAAGGTTGGAAAATTAGGCAGGCAGAATTCTTTTCTTTTTCCTCACCAAAAAAGGTAGGTGAAAACAATGGGAAATTTAGGGAAAAAGAGGAGAGTTCAGGATTTTAAAACACAAAAGAAAAAAAGCTCTATTTAACTAGGGAATTGTAATAATTGAGATACTATTAATTGTATATTTCTGAAAGCAGAAATGGTTAAGTTGTGGTTTGGAGGAATATATAGGGGAAATGATTTGGTTTATTATTATTGGTAAATATAATTAATTGATTTGTAAGAAATTGGATTGCATGGAAATAATTGGAATATTCATGTTCATATTGATTAATATACAAAAAAGGTAGTTATATAACTAATTGATTTATATTAAAATGTTGAATTTATATTAAACAACTAATATTACATAATTAACCAATGTGACGATGGATATAAAAATAGATGACAATGGGAAGGGGTATAATATAGAATAGAGGGGGAAAATTGAATTTGATTAAGATTAGAGATAAGGATGAAGGGTAATATTGGTTTTTTAAAAAAATAGATGAGGAATAAATATGGCAAAAAGGAAATATAGAAATTGTAAATTTAATTGAAATGACTAAACACTGTTTAAATTTGTGAACCGGCCAAATACTCTGTTCAAAGAAAATACATTGTATGTTTGTATGTGTGTTTCTAATTATTGTTATTTATTCATATTTGTTCTCTTTTATTCTTTAAAGTTTAATAATTCATACTTTATCTTAATATCTTTATATTTGTTTGGGGTTGGCTTTCTTCCCTTTCATCTTTTTTATTGTACAGCAATCTTTCTCCTCAAACCTACCACCTCTCTCTTTTCTTTCCTTCTTACTTTCTCTTCCTCCCCCTCTTCTTCTTCTCCCTACTTCCTCTTCCTTTCTCCTTCTCCTCCTCTCTTCCTCCCTCTCTTACCCTCTCTCCTACTCTAATTTCCCTTCCCTTCCTTCATCCCTCTCTATTGCTGTATCCTTTTATGCATATGGACTATTCAGAGGGCTGAAAAAGTTATTTCTGACTGGTCCTCGCACTTTTGACCAGTCCTCGAACTTACGACTGTCCTCACATTTTACGTTTTTGCCCTATCTTGTCACCATGGTGATGAGAAGCAGTTGTGAAATGAGTGACATGGTTGTTAAGAATGCTACAATGGGCATAAATGATGACCAGTCATAAGTGTGAGGACCGGTCAAAAGTGCGAGGAACTGTCAGAAATCACTTTTTTCAGCCCTCTGGGTAGTCCTTTTGTGCATATGGACTACTCAGAGGGCTGAAAAAGTTATTTTTGACTGGTCCTCGCACTTTTGACCAGTCCTCGAACTTACGACTGTTCTCACATTTTACGTTTTTGCCCTATCTTGTCACCATGGTGAAGAGAAGCAGTTGTGAAATGAGTGACATGGTTGTTAAGAAAGCTGCACGGGCATAAATGTGAGGATGGTCATAAGTGTGAGGACTGGTCAAAAGTGCGAGGCCCAGTCAGAAATGACTTTTTTCAGCCCTCTGAGTAGTCCCTATGCACATAGCCACGCCCACCCGGTCACATGACGAGCTAGCCATGCCTACACAGTCACGTGACCAGCTAGCCACGCCCACCCAGTCACATGATTGCCAAGCCACACCCCCAACTAAGCCACGCCCACAGAACCTGTTGTTAAAAAAATTGAATCCCACCACTGCCTGGGACTTCTACTCATGAGACCACCAGCGCAACATATCATGCTTTATTGGGCAACTGGGCAGCATCATTTGTGAGTCACAGTCAAGGCTTGAGTTTTGGATATCACTTTTTTTGCTATCTCTTCAAGTGAGGGAATTGCCTGTGGGAATTGTCCCCTCCCCCATGGAATTAGCAGGGAGATATGACTACTTGGTCTTTTAGTGCTACAGAGCAAAAATCAACCTAGGAGAAGCTTTGTAGAGGTAAACGAAGGGAATAGTTTCAGTCTAATTCTGAATGGTGTGTCTCTCTCTGTGTGCATGTGTATGCAACCACTTTTACAATACAGACAATACAAACATTTTGGACATATTTCTCCTCCCCACCAGGAAGAAATCTAAGGTGTACATAACTTGCTGTGACAACCACTCCCAAATACAATTTTTACAATAAACTGATTACAATATAAATGAGACAAGAAAGAAAACCTTACAATGAATTTCCACCGTCCCCTGATAGTCTTTCCAGCTGTCTTCTGGGGATTGAAAAGAGTCTTTTGGTCTTTACTTGTCCATCTCAGGGTCTTTTCCTTAATGTCTGTTGGGTAGCATGCTTGGTGGTAAGGCTGGTCAGTCAGGCCTGGGAAGGTCTGCTCCACT